ATCTCTAGGCATTCATTCCTGCTCTCTGCTTCCTGTCGTTTAACTAATTCTTAGTCCTTGTCTTCTTATGCCATGACTGCTAAGTTTATTCAAGAGTCTTTGTCAAAAAGCCTTTTGAAAGACCAAGTATATAATGTCACTGTCACTGGTGCTTCAGTGTGCCTGTTCACTTTCTTCAAGAACTCCGAAAGGCTGATGAGGCATGGCTTCTGAAGAAGTGAGCCGTGACTCAAGATAGCTCATCTCCTGCCACCAATTCGGTTAGCCGTGAAGGAGCTCCTGGACTCTGGCTCTTTCCTGCTGGTACAGACAGACTGACAGGGCGGGCTACCCATCTCGACCTGTCTCCGAAGGCCTCCTTCTCCCGGGAGCTGAGGGGCGGAGAGGCTGGTTGAGCAGGAGAGGGTCCCTCCCTGGCCCAAGGAGGGTGGGCTGGACCCAGGACAAGCATTCCATGGCTTTATTGTGTTCTTGCCGGCCCCCTTCTGTGTTCCCCTCATCCTGCTCTCGTGGAAGAGAAGAGTCTCAGAGAGGCTGACAAACTCCTTTCCCCTCCCCATAACAGACACCCTGGGAGGTGGGTGGGGGCTGAGAGAGCTCTTTTTCAAGAACAGGGTGGTGAAAACCAGTGAGGATTGTGAGGCACTCCAAAGGGATCTGGGCGACAACATGGCAAATGGGGTTCAAGGTGACCAAGTGCAAGGTGATGCACATTGGAGCCAAAAATCCTAACTATAAATACACGTTGATGGGGTCTGAACTGGCAGAGACTGAGCAAGAGAGAGATCTTGGAGTTGTAGTAGATAACTCACTGAAAATGTTGAGACAGTGTGTGACTGCAATAAAGAAGGCCAATGCTATGCTGGGGATTATTAGGAAGGGTATTGAAAACAGATCAGCCAATATAATAATGCCCCTATATAAATCAATGGTGAGACCTCATTTGGAATACTGTGTGCAGTTCTGGGCACCACACCTTAAAAAAGATATTATAGCTTTGGA